ACACACACACACACACACACACACACACACACACAGTTAACAAAAAGCCACTGTGACTTTCACTCACCTTCCGGTGTAGTTTAGGACCTGATCCTTTCTGTTCAATGGATCCAAAGCCAGTTTAGGTCAATGATAGATGAACTTAAGCACAGTAATCTTGAAAATATATTTGCCCATGAAAAATCAGCTCATAACCAAAAATCCAAGAAAACTAGAAATGATCATAAGCAGAACACAAGAGGCATTCTTGTATTCCAGCCAAATAAGTAGGGCATTAGAGGAAAAATAGAAACAGGTAAATTAAAGGAGGTGTGACGAGGGAGGAGGCTGGTAGATTTGGAGGTCACTGGAATATGGATAAAAAGTCTGTGCTTCATATCGTGCTTTCCAGAGAGAACGGTTATCAGTTTTCTCATTAGGAGAAAAAAAAAATCACATTTTCAGCTGATTTTCTAGAAAAATATCAGTGTTTTATTATCTGGACAGATTGTTCTTGATTAACTTGAAATTTGCGTGAATGATCCACTTCTGTGAGGTTCTTCTGGAAGTGACGAATCCCATCAGAAGGGATGGAAAAGCCATCAGGGGCTGCTTGGGGCTGCATCAGGGTTGAGCTTCGGTGAGGGTGGAACAGGAAGGGATTTGGGGGGTAATGGAAATATGCCACATCTTGACTGTGGGAGTGACTACATGGGTTTATATATTTGTCAAAACTCTCCAACTTAAAATGAATATTTTTGTTGGTGGTGGTGATGGAATATATCTCAATAAAATTGATTTGAAAACAACAGAATGCCGTGCAGTAATGCAATGTCTGTGTCTGTATCTAGACCTAGATCTACGATGAGAAAAGGAATGCTGCCCCAGGAGCACTGTGGGCAGCACCATCCTGAAACGGAAGAGCTGTGCCTTCCCTCTGTCCATTGAGGACAGCAGCAGAGCCAGGGGCACAAGACTCCACATGGTGGCCTGGGGCTGCAGGTGGGGATGGGAGGTGGTCAGTTATGAGATGAATGAGCTCTGAGGGTCTGCGATGCAGCACATGATTATAGTTAATATTTAAAACACTTAGCATGAGAAAGCACATGTCAAGTGTTGGGGGGTGATGGACATGATAATTAACTTGATTTCAGAACTCACTGGACAATGGACATGTATAGCAATTCACATCTTACACTTTAAATGTATATGATTTTATTTGCCAGTTATATCTCAATAAAGAAAAAAAAAAGAAAAGAAATGAAAGACTCTCCAAAGCAGACCATGTGGACAAGGCAGGTGGACTAAGGGGCAGGATCTTTCTCATGGCAGGGAAAGGAGGCGATTCAAGCCCTGAGACCAGCCTGGGCCCAGCCTGGAGGTTGACAGGGCAGACTGTAACGGGGGCTCACCTTTGTGCCTGGGGGTTGTGCTCAAATAACAGGGCACCAAACGACGGGTACTCAACAACCCGCACATCCCGCCAGGTTTGCAGCTTTGGCTGAAGTTACCAGTCCCACCCACTCTGACCTGGGAGCATTTGGGGTTGGGGGCACTTCCCTCTCTGCCCTCCGCCTTGGCCCCTGCTGCTCCTACCCTCTGTACCAGGATGGGAGCCGTGCAGGGGGTGAGGGGGAAAGCATTGGTCTTCTGAAGATGCCCTCATGGGAATGAATTTGTCACTCCTTGTCACCCTCTGGGCCTTGCAGGTGTCTAAAGGTGACTATTTTTCTTGGAGCAAAAAGTCCTCCCCCATGTCCTGACCTTTCTTCCCCTGCAGGTCCCTTGCCGGGTGGAGGGGGGTGTTACGGTTTAGATGTGTGGTGTCCCCCAAAGCTCCTGTGTGAGACAATGCTAGAAAGTTCAGAGGTGAAACGATGGGGCCCTAAGGCCTTGACCTAACCAGTGCATGAATCCCCTGACAGGGATGAGTGGTGGTCACTGTGGGCAGGCGGGGCGGGACCGAGGAAGCAGGTCAAGGGGACGTGCCTTTGGGGTTCACAGTTTACCCCTGGAGAGCAGATCTCCACCCTCCCACCTCTTCCTCTCTCCCCTCTGAGGTGCTTCCCCCCACAGCACCCTTTTGCCATGATGCTCTGCCCCCACTTTGGTCCCAGAGCAATGGAGTCAGCGACCAGGGACGGACCCTCTGAAACCTTGAGCCCAAGTAAACTTTTCCTCCTCCTCTATGTTGTTCTTGCCAAGTCATCTGGTCATAGCCACCACCACCAAAAAAAAAAAAAACCTAAATCAGAGGGGTGAGTACATCTCCTCTAGCTAATCGCCACGCTCTCTAGCAGCCCCTGTGAGTTGGGGCGGGAGGTGTACACTCAGCTTCTTTATGTGAGGTTCCTCTTCTCTTGGGGCAGCCCCTGGGGCAGAATCTAAGTGTCAGGACTCACAGGCCACTTCTGCTTCCCGTGGGGATCTTAGACCCATGTTGCTCTAACAGAGCTCGCAGGTCAACCCAGCAAGGTGCAACCACATTTGGGGCGGCCTTCCTAGACTCTGACATGGGCACTGCCAGTCCAACACCAGCCCTCCGGTGTGATTCCTCAAGCCTTGGTCACACCGGTCCACTGTAACCTCCCAGCTCCCAAAGTCGCGCAGCAGGTGTTCCACGTAGTTCATTAGTCATGGAGCTGGAGAGAAACACGTCCTTCATTCTCCAAGGCTGTTCATGCTCAGGGTGGGAAGGAGTTGAGGTTGGTGGCTTGGGAGGAACATGGATCCACAGCATATCAACAAGGCTCCTTCCAGAAACACTCCCTCTGACCCCGGCTCTCCCCTTAGGTTTCTCCTCTTGTTATGGGTTGAGGAAGAGAGTTCATCCGCATCCCTTCCACCTTATGCTTCAGAGTCCCACTCCTCACTTTAAAACAGGAAAGCAGTTGGTCTTATTTTCTTAGAATCTCAGCCTGAAATGACACCACTAAGAGCTCGGACATACTGACTCCTGCACAAATCAGGTCCTCTGCTAAGTTCTTGACATAGATCATAGGTATCTTATACTAGACAAAGGCACCATAGACATATATTGGAGAAAAGATAGCCTCTTCAACAAATGGTGCTAGGAAAACTGGAAATCCATATGTAGCAAAATGGAATTAAACCCCTACCTCTCAACCTGCACAAAACTCACTCAAAGTAGATCAAGGACCTAGACATTAGACCAGAGACCCTGCACCTACTAGAAGAAAATGTAGGCCCCACTCTCCATCGTGTTGGCTTAGGAACTCAATTCCTCAACAAGATTCCTAAAGCACAAGAAGTAAAATAAAAAATTAATAAACAGGATGGTATCAAACTAAAAAGCTTATTCACAGCAAAGGAAACAATCAAGAATGTGAAGAGAGAACCTAGAAAATGGGAGAAATCCTTTACCTCATGCACCTCAGATAGAGCATTGATTATCAGGATATATGAAACTTTCAAATAACTTCACACATACACAAAAAACATAACCCAATCAACAAATGGGCAAAGGAACTGAACAGACACTTCACAGAAGAAATATGATAGGTCAACAAATACATGAAAAAATGTTCAACATCTCTAGCAATTAGAGAAATGCAAATTAAATCTACACTGAGATTTCATCTCACTCCAGTCAAAGTGGCAATTATCAAGAATATAAGCAACAATAAATGTTGGTGAGGATATGGGGGAAAATGTACACTCATAAATTGCTGGTGGGACTACAAATTGGTGCAACCACTCTGGAAAGCAGTATGGAAATTCCTCAGAAAACTTGGAATGGAACTACCATTTGACCCAGTTATACTACTCCACAATATATACCCTAAGGACTTAAAATCAGCATATAGTAACATGGCTACATCAATATTTATAGCAGCTCAATTCATAACAGTTAAGCTATGGAACAAACCAAAGTGCCCTTCAACAGTTGAATGGATAAAGAAAATTTGGCATATATACACAATGGAATATTACGACACCATAAAGAAGAATGAAATTATGGCATTTGTCAGTAAATGGATGGAACTGGAAACTATCATACTAGGTAAAATAAGCCAGTCCCAAAACACCAAAGGCCAAATGTTCTCTCTGATATGAGGATGCTAACACACAGTGGGGGTGGGGGGGGGCGGGGAGGGAACAATAGAAGTACTTGGGGTTAGAAACACAGGAATGAAAGAAAGGGAGGGGGGATGGAAATAGAAAGATAGTAGAGTGAATTTGACATCACTTTCCTATGTTCATACATGAACACACAATCAGTGTGACTCCTCATCCTGTACAACCAAAAGAATGGGAAGTTATACTCCATGTGTATATGATATGTCAAAATACATTCCACTGTCATGTATAACTAACTAAAAATAACAAATGAAAAAGATTTTAAATAAAGAATATGGTTATAGAACTTGATATGCAGGATGTCTTAGGTGTTCTCTAGAATGGAGAAAGTGGGTTGAGAGGGGGTTGGGCTGGGTCATCTCTGAGGCCCCTTTCCATGGTGTCACAGAGGCTCTCAAGGAGCCCAGGAAGCAGAAGGCAGAAGGAAGAGGGTGCCCACCTCTGACCCTTCTCTCCTTGGACTCTGGTGCATTTCAGTAGAAACCCAAGGGCAGCCATTGGGAATCGGCCCAGCAGGCTCTGAGCAAGAAGAGGGAA